CACCGACAAGTGCAAAGTGATGCACCTGGGGAGGAATAACCGGCACCATACCTACAGGCTGGGGAACTCCCTTCTCATCAGTACAGAGGCAGAAAAGGATCTTGGAGTCGTCATTGATTCCAAGATGAACGTGGGCCGGCAGTGTGGGGATGCAGTCAGGAAGGCCAACCATTCCTTGTCATGCATCCACAGATGCATCTCGAGCAGGTCCAAGGAGGTGATCCTCCCCCTCTATGCGGCACTGGTCAGGCTGCAGCTGAAGTACTGTGTCCAGTGCTGGGAGCTGCACTTCAGGAGGGATGTAGACAGCATGGAGAGCCTCCAGAGGAGGCCACCCACATGATCAGGGGGCAGCAGGGCAGGCCCTGTGAGGAGAGGCTACGGGACCTGAACCTGTTCAGCCTCCACAAGAGAAGGCTGAGGGGGGATCTAGTAGCCTGTTACAAACTAATCAGAGGGGACCAGCAGGCACTTGGGAAGTCCCTGTTTCCCCCGAGCATTGCCAGGAGTGACCAGAAATAACGGTCACAAGCTGGCAGAGGGTAGGTTTAGGCTAGATATCGAGAGGTGCTACTTCATGGTCAGGGCGGCTAGGATCTGGAACCTACTTCCAAGAGAAGTGGTGCTGGCTCCTACCCTGGGGGTCTTTAAGAGGAGGTTAGATGTACACCTTGCTAGGGTCGTTTGACCCCAGTACTCTTTCCTGCCATGGCAGGGGGTCGGACTTGATGATCTACTCAGGTCCCTTCTGACCCTAGAAACTATGAAAACAACACAGATATGTATTCTGTTTTTCTGTGAAGCCCCTGAATAAAGAGAACAGCCTACCTTACTGCTTTTTTTGATTTAAGAAATAAACTACAATGAACAATACACTTTTATATGATATTCTGACAGTCACAGGAATGGATTATGCGCTCTATGGGATGCCTTGCTGTTCTCTCAAATGTATATGTAAAAAGTGGAAAACAGGCCCTGTAAGGGGGACTGTAGATATAGGTATTGTCATCAGTCAGCCAAAATGGCTGATTTTCTTTCACAAGTATTTCAAAAGACAATTCCTGTACTGGAATACTGTAAAACTAATACAGCAAGCTGTGATTCTGATGCACCTTTCATTGGATTTTTTTCCTGCTGACAAAACTTACCCTGTACATAGAATTTTTTAATAAAATTCAAAAAAAATATTATCAAATTATATTTTTTAAAAGATTCCTTTCCTGTGATCTGTTAAGATCTGATGTAACTAAAATGAACACACTTACAATGATTATCCTCCTGATGATGTCAGGGGCTTCTTTTAGCTTTTTACATTTCAGTTTCATTTCATGTCTTGTGCTAGCCTGAAAATCTAATCTTTGGGTTGAAGATGTTACAAAGGAATGTTAAATCCCTCCCCTCCATCAGTTTGATAAAAGGTTCCCTCTCTCCCCTCTAGCAAAAATTGTTGGCAACCCAGATATAGAGCTTAGTGGAATCTTGCAGGATTTCTTTTAAAAATTACATTGTTTAGTAGTAATAGGATGGCAGCAGCTTTGTGATGCTGGTCAATCTCAGTACACTTTATTATTTTACTAATAATAAAGCAGTGATCCCATTCACACCTAGTAGTTGTAATGCTTGTTCAGTGTGATTTTTTGAAAAGCTTGGGAGAGTTCAGGTAGGCTAGGCCTTATGAAGATGGACTAAAGGGCCTGAATCTATTCAGCCTCCATGAGAGAAGACTTAGAGGGGATCTGGTGGCCATCTATAAACTCACCAGGGGGGACCAGCGGAAAATAGGTGAGGCTCTGTTTCCCCGGGCACTGCTTGGGATAACAAGGAATAACGGCCATAAATTGATTGAGAGCAGGTTCAGGCTTGATATCAGGAGGCATTGCTTAACGGTTAGGGCTGCCAAGGGAGGTGGAATGGGCTCCCAAGAGAGATGGTGTTCTCCCCTACCTTGGGCGTCTTCAAGAGGAGGTTGGATAGATATCTGGCTGGGGTATTATGATCCCAGCACTTGTTCCTGCCCAGGGCAGGGGGTCGGACTTGATGATCTGTTCAGGTCCCTTCTGACCCTACCAACTATGAAACTATAAAAGGTTCTGTTCAAGTGCTAGGAATGTCTTGGGAGCCCTACCTTTTTTTCAGTTATTTTTGCTTTATTTCTAACCACACTTGGCAAGTGATCCATTCCTGTCTTATTTCTTTCCTTTAGATCCAGCTCCCCAGATAGATGTGAGTGAAGCAAACAAACAGTTTGTAGAACAGAGCGAAGAGCTTTATGATGCCTTGACTGACTCTCACTGGCAGCCTTTGGACACCGTCTCTTCAGAGATTCCAGCCATCTTATAGCCTCATTGGTGAGGCCCATGTTTCTGTGAGACAAGCCAGCTAGCACGCACCAGACTGATGCTACACCTGGAACCTGCAGTAGTGAAGCGGTGACCCCTTTTCTACACAGGTGTCTGACTCAAAATACAGGAGGACTCTGGTATTTCCTGTACACAATGCGTATCATAGGAGCATCATGGTAATGCAATTTTATTCCTGGTGAAAATTAGAACTGCAACAGTTTTATTCCTTTTGTCTTGAACTGAACTCAACACTTCTTGGGAATTGTAATTTATAAACAAGACAGTACAGAGGAATGAAACTTCTCCAACATGCAATAAAAAGTTGGTCTTTTAACTAAAATTGCCCTTTGCATTTGGCTCCCGCCCATCTCTTTGCTTCTTTGTCCATGTACCTGTCTTCCACTCATGCTGCTTTCCATAAATTTGTCCTTTAGAAAATTGTCAGTCACTACTCAAATCTCCCAACACGTCTCCAGTGATTGGGTAAGGTGCCTGGGTGTTGTTGAGGGGGGAGGAACATGCAGACAAAAGCTTATGTTCTGCCTTTTCTAAGTGCCAGATTAGAGCTATCAAAATGTATATTTTGGTATTTTCAAGCAGTCTGAACAAGAAGGAGTTTTTTTGATGGGGGCAGCTGGAGGTTTAGAGATGGCAAGAAGTATTATAAAACTACTGTTGATGGAGGCCCTCTAGTTAGCCTTGAGCAGTTTGTTTTCCCTTATTCTTGATCTGCATAGGAAGAAATTACTCCTGTTAGACAAAAAATAACTTAAACATGCCTGCTGTTAGCAATGTTTTATAGAAGATTTTGTCTATGACAGGTTCATCCCTGTGGACGGGTTCTTGATGTCCTGTTAAAACACTAGATTGTTCAGCTTCTGCTGTAATGTAGAGTGAACAAGGTAAAAGAAAATTAAACTAGTGTATGAGAAACAGATCAGAGCACTGGAATTACTTTATGTTCAAGGTGTTGCTCACCTGAGAGCAGTTTTCTATGGGACGTTGTGTGTGCTGAACAAACTAGCAATGTATTTAAGCTAACACTGTGGTGCATTAAGGGTGGCAACAAAAATAGCACTTATTTACATGTTGTGTGAGCCATTTTTAGGCTTCTGTGCCAGACAAACTACCCGCAATAAATGTCTACCTAAGAAGACATTTAGTAACTGAAATTGAAAGAAAAAAAACATTTAGTTACTTTTGCCTCTACTGGTGCTGGAATTAGCAGTAAAAACTAAAATACTTCATAAGGCCCATTTTTCTTCAGTTGTGTGTTTTCATTATAATCCATTGATTGGTCTGTTTTAATCATGTGCAGTGGGATGGTAAATGTGATGTAAAAGTTCACAAGATAACAGTGACTTGTATATTTTGTTTAGTGCATAGCTAAATGAGTGATAGCAGGAGAAATAGTGGCCCTTTACAGTTTTTGCCCCTGTAACTGTGCATCTCACAGACCATTGTTATTTTCCCTGTGGAATATTAATGTCGTCCTGAGCCCAGATCATATGGGATGCAAGGCTCTGAGTGTTCTGTGTGGGTTCCTTTGGTGTGCCAAAGATTCAAAATTAATCTATTTAGACAGGTGGGAGGGAGCAGAATGCTTTTTTCTTCAGCAATGTGAAATCCTCCTCTCTTCTAGAGGAGATTCTCTTTAATAGAATGAAGTTTTAGCAATGACATAAAAAGGTCTATTCCAGCCTTTTGATAAATGTTTTTGCCATTTTACAGTGGTTTTTGGTGTGTTAATGTCACACTTGAACAGTGACACACTGATTACCTGAGAGATGGTTAGCTATGTTGGGATGAGGTCAGACAGGGAGGTCAGGACAGGGTGGCATTTAACTGGTTCAGAGGCGTGAGCGTTTGTAGGCAACAACCAATTACATCTGACAAAGTAACCTGTTGCCTATGAAAACTCATGCCTCTGAACCAGTTAGTCTCTAAGGTGCCACCCTGCCCTGCCTTTGACCTTCATTCTGAATATCCTTAATTTCTCCCATTCTGACCCCTGACACGTCCCAACTTACCCACCTTAGTTGGAGACGTGAGACTGTACCTGAAACGCATAAATTTTATTTAGGCCATAAGTGTAGTAACAGTTGAGTACCCCCATCCTGTCTAATATATTTCCTAAGAAATGACCAAGCCAGGTCCATAACCTCTTAGCATCCCGTATCTGCTACCAACTGTCACAACAGTGTGGGGGAATGAAGGGAAGTGACATGGAAACCCCTTTAAAAATCCTTTCTGTACAGAAAACAAAGGGCAGGCTATTGCAGCACAGAACCATTCCTCTTTAGTAGTCCTGTTAAGCTGTCCCCAGTCCCTTGTCAGAGCCACTATGCTGGCTGCTGTGGTTGGCATGGTACATGTCTACACAGCCGACTTACTGTGCCAGTCTGCTGCTCCTTCAAGCATACTGTCCTTCTCCAGGTGCTTCCTAAATCAGAAACAGCACAGACACCTCTGCATGGCACATTGGGCTAATGATTACTGGTGGGTGCTGCTGCCCATTAGCTCATGCTTGTGCTGATCAGTCCACCTGTGCTGCTGCATAGACACAGCTGGACTGCTTCTTGATTAAGATGGAGCAGCACCACATGTTTGTGCTGCTGCTGCCAGGCATGGTAAATTTACTGCATAGATGAGGTCCCTGGTTGAATGGAAATCAGGAATGACTTGTTTATTCTGTTGCTGCTATTCAGCTGGTCCAGAGATGCCTAGTGATCAGAAAGATTGATAAAAACACATGGAAAGGAGTAGCAGGTACAGAAGTCAGTAAGGATTTGCAATGAGATCTGTTCATTCAAAGATGCAGAACCTGAAATAGCTTTTCCCTCCCTCTAAAGGGAATAGATGTGAACCTAGGGGCCACGCTGGGGCTACTCCCCATGAAAGAGCTTTGCTTCACTCCATAACATGAGGAGCAGGTCATACCCTAAAGGGGAAAAGAGATGCAGTTCCCCACAGCAGCGTTCATTTGGGAGCAGGAGAGTCTGGGCTGCTGCAAAAAGAAAGGCGTTACTTGCCATTGTTTTGGTGGCAGAGGGAGATTGTCCTGGGGGAAGAAAGAAGTCAGATTTGCTACCACAGTCTTAGAGATTGGGGAAAGGGTATCTCGGGTCTTGTCAAGAAAGAGGTTTAGGGGATGTGAATGTAGTGAGACTCTCTGCCAGTGGAAAGTCGGGAGTTATTTTTCAGCATCCTTTCCTGCAGTCCTTGTTCACTTCTCCATAATGGCCAACACCTTGCTTCTCTTTCAGTATTCTGTCAAAGCATCTGGAGCATAGGTGACACTTTAATGCAGTGCTGTAAAATTTCCAATAGCCTGAACTCGTAGAAACTGACTGACTCTTGGAATCCAGTGGCCTAGGCATGAGTCTTTTTTCCAGACGGCTACGAAGAGAAAGCACCCTGATGAATTACTATTCAGCATAATCCAGGACAGAAGACATGCACTCCACGCATGTGAGGAACTGAATTCTACTTATTATTTCCACTCACTAAAAACCAAGGTATTGACAGATGGAAATTCTGTAGTTCATGTGCTGCCTGGCAAAACCAGCCACAGCACAGATTATGCAGCCTCTTTCTTTGTAGCATCAATCATCAGTCAGGGAACTAAAGATTCAGGGTAAAGTTTTGCATTGCATTACTCAAGAAAGACGCTGATGTTAACTTGGGTTCTTCTCTCTGCCAGTGACTGGGACTTTCAGATTACAATTTGAATTGTGGATGTTAAAGGATTCTTAAGTAAGTTTAAGTCTGGAAAGTCTTGAGAGCATGGGGAGGTTACTCCAAGGAGTGTTAAGGAGTTTGGGGTGACAGTCTCTGTACAAGTGTAATCTCACCTGCAAGATAAGATAGCTGACTGAAGTCTTAGGGCGGGATCTCTTGTTCAGTCTACTCAGAGAAGTTTCATTTTGAACTGAGAGCTCTGAAGTACAAGGTATGCAGCCGCGTACTATCTGTAGGAATTGGTGCTTAACTTCGTGATAAGCTACAGAGATACCTTCCATCCTATGCATTAAGTCTGCCCCTCACTAGAGTACTGAGTTGTCAGTCTTCATCTTCTGCTTAGAACAATGATTCTCAACCAGGATGTGGCATCATCCTGGGGAGCTGGGAGTGCACAATACTAGCACTCTTAGGTGTGAAAACACCTACACATGATTCACAAGATAAAGCCAGAGACTTCAAATAGGAATCCACAGTGTCAAGAGCATTCTGCCCTGCTGTGGTCTCTCTCAGTTCTTTGCAGCAGAAGAATTCCTCCATTATTTTCCTGTGGTCAAAGACAAGTGAATGCTTAGAGCTGGCATTTTCCAGGGATGTCTTGGAGTCTACCAAGGGGCTTCTAAAAAGGTTGAGAACCACTGTCTTAGACAGATCTGACAGAATATTTTAAAACCCAGCCTAGCTTTAATCCTGAACATTTTATTGTAGCTGTGAACAGCTGCAAACTGTTGCTGCAAATTGACTACTCCAATTTAAATGGCTATATAAGACAGTTATTGTGGAGTAAAATAAAGTGTAAACTTAAAATGCAATGATACCACAAGTGGACACAGCTGTGCTGGAATGAGCATTTGTGTATGTTATGGGGCAGCTTCTGCTATAACTATGGCAGCAGAGTCCCCTGCTGTAAAGGGAGCATACTCCAGCGGGAGTTTCCTGCTGTTAGTTACCTAGGTCCTCGACCAGCTTGGCTGGTAGGAGTCTTGCTGGCAGAGTTACACCGGCTCTGGGGAATGACCTTTTCACTCCCCAGTTGCCATAACTAAAGCAGCAAACTTCTTAACATAGACTAAGCCTCTGAGTGTCTTTTCACTAATTTAGTTTAATCCATTTTCAGGGTCAATAAAGCAAATGCACAAAAAGCTGTTCTTGTTCTGGAATAAAGCTGTCTACAAATGAAGCTTATTTCTGGCACAGAAATATCTCCTGTTGAAAATCTCTCCCCCCAGAGGACTTCAGTTTTTTGTCTTCAAACCAGATCTTATCTTTCAACTCCCCCATTACATTATTTTGCACTGAGAAAGGTTTAACAAGAGACTGCTTTGTTTTTGGTGAGAGAGATGCAAATAGCTGTTTTATCTAAGAGCGTTCCACTGGCATACACTCTTTTTTTGCTTCTCGTGTTGTAGAATTTAGATCAGATGGACCATGGTCAAACCAATTGCAGCTAACGTAGCTGGAACCATATTTAGCATTCATTTCACATTAATGGGTCACGTCCCTGCTCCTCGGTGCCATGACCTGACTGAGAAATTTGAGACAACAGTAGGTAGGTGGCACAGACAGTATTACCAGTTAAAATTTTTATGAGGGTTTATCTTGCCCCAATCTGTTCAATGGTGGGAACTGCGGGCTTTTCTAGCACACTCTTTCTTGCCTATAAGATCCTATGACAAGTGCTGTATACGAAAGATACTAATGTAGGCTTCTAGCCTTACCAGATCTGACCCAGTTCCCTAGTGACCTGCACTGCAGTCCCAATGTAAATGAACAGAGTAGACACATCCTGTATTCCCTGCTCTCAGATCTCCGTAGACTGGGATATGATCAGAGTCTGATCATGCTTTGAATGTTAGCAAATGGTCTGAAGATGATTCTGTTCCTGAGACTCTCCTCAAAGGAAAAGTTAAGCTGGACTTCAGGGCACCTTTCTATTTCCTATCTAATGACATCCATTCGTTGCTCCTCAAGTGGCATTTGACAGAAAGCCTGGCCAAAGTGGAAGTCCCCTGGTGCTGGGTGCTCGGCCACAGCAGATCAGAGCAGACTACAGACATGTTTTTTCTGACTGCTGTGATACCAAATGTAGAAGCACATGTTCTGGGGGAACGTTTGTTCACCAGAGCATCCCAAGGGATGATGAGGTTGAACGGTCACAAACTACTACAAGACCGTTTCAGGCTGGACATAAGGAAGAATTTCTTTACTGTCTGAGCCCCCAAGGTCTGGAACAGCCTGCCATCGGAGGTGGGTCAAGCACCTACATTGAACACCTTCAAGAGCAAATTGGATGCTTCTCTTGCTGGGATCCTATGACCCTGGCTGACTTCCTGCCCTTTGGGCGGGGGCCTGGACTCGATGAACTTCCGAGGTCCCTTCCAGCCCTAATGTCTATGAAATCTATGAAGTTTACGTAGGAGGTAGAGTCCAGACCATCTGCTTGTGCCCGTTGCACCAAAGCTGACATGGAAGTGAAAGATCAGTTTTAGCAGGAATTGAACCTGGCCCCATAAGGTTTGGGGCTCAATCCCACACTTCCTTTTAGTCTCTGCCAGGGTTTCTCACTTGGGGTGATAACCAGGCTCTGTTGCTGAGGTAGTTGGTCATTTCCAGCATGGGATTCTTGTGCTGCGCAGTAACACAGCAGAGCATGTGAGCTTCAGTTCAGGAAAGGTTAATTCTGTGATTTCCCAATCACCTTTTCATTTTTTCCATTTTATCCAGATTCCTGGCTTAGGGTTTGGGGGCTGGACATTGATATTTCTGCAGACTTTGTGCTGCTGGAAGCTACAAAAGTCAAAGCATTCATCTTACGTTGTCCTTTCATGAGTAGTCATTAGGGGGCGCTCACATTTTAAGTGTTTCTCAATAAATGTAGCATAAGCTGGCAGATGTGACTGACATGCCACTTGTCATAAATGCTTCTGTTTCGAGGATTTTTGCCTCCCATTTCTTTGGAGGAGGGTTTCTTCCCTATCAGTCTGTAACTATGAATAGAAGGGCTGGGGAAAACATGCTGCCTTTCAAAAATGTTTTTTGGAGGAACCCCAGACCCACACCTTCAGAGGGACTGCTGAGACCCACCTTGTCCAAAGTGGGGAAGGGATGAGGCAGGAATTCAGTCCCCTTCCATTTTCCTATCCCAGGTAGGATGAAGTGCTCCCTCAGCAAGTTTGCAGATGACACCAAGCTGGGGGAAGTAGTAGATACGCTGGTGGGTAGGATTAGGATCAGAGATACCTTGACAAATTGGAGGATTGGGCCAAAAGAAATCTCATGAGGTTCAGCAAGGACAAGTGCAAAGTCCTACACTTAAAATGGAACAATCCTAAGCACTACTAGAGGCCGGGGGCTGACTGGCTGGGCAGCAGCTCTGCAGAAAAGGACCTGGGGGTTACAGTGGACAATAAACTGAATATGAGCCAACAGTGCCCTTGTTGCAAAGACGGCTAACCGCACCCTGGGCTGCACTGGTAGGAGCATTGCCAGCAGATTGAGGAAAGTGATTATTCTGCTCTATTCAGCCCTGCTGAGGCCACATCTGGGGTACTGTGTCCAGTTTTTGGCCTCCCGCTACAGAAAAGATGTGGACAAGTTGAAGAGAGTCCAGCAGAGGGCAATGAAAATGATTCTGGGGCTGGGGGACATGACTTCTGAGGAGAGGCTGAGGGAACTGGGCTTATTTAGTCTGCAGAAGAGAAAACTGAGGGAGGATTTAATAGCAGCCTTCAACTACCTGCAGTGCGGTTCCAAAGAGGATGGCACTGGACTGTCCTCAGTGGTGGCAGATGACAGAACAAGGAGCAACGGTCTCAAGTTGCAGCAAGAGAGGTGTATGTTAGAGTTTAGGAAAAAACTTTCTCACTAGGAAGATAGTAAAACACTGGAGCAGGTTACCCAGAGGTGGTGGAAGGGCTCCGTCCTTGGGGGTTTTTAAGACCCAGCTAGACAATGGCTGGGATGATCTAGTTGGGGATGGTCTTGCTTTAAGCAGGGGGTTAGACTAGATGTGGCCCCCGAGGTCCCTTCCACCTCTAATTTGCTATGATTCTGTCTCCCCAGAGTTTTCAGCAGTGGTAGATTTGAGATCTTCCCAAACAGTTTAGGGAAGGAGGGGGTTCAGAAAAAAAGGCCACTTCTATGGGCTTGTGAAAGGGACAGGGGGTTCAAAGCAAAATCCCCTTTATTTTCATATGGGCAAAGAGAAATACACCCAGCTTCCCTGCTGCTGTGAGGAGTGCGGTGGGGAAAATACATAGCCCACAGGCTTCTGGGGCCAGGGTAGCAGATAACACATTTCTTCCGCCTGTCCGCATGATGGGGTAGAGGGGAACATCATTCTCCCGTGTTTTCCAGTGAGCTGGCATCTCACTCTGCCCCTCTGGGCTTCCAGGAGGGCATGGGAACATACGCATCCGCATGCTACTTTTTTGAGAGTTGGGGAAGGGGGACTGGATGTGCCTGTAAACATGAAGTGGAGGGTAAGAATCGTGTCCCAGAGGCTTTGAGATGGGAGGCCGTGGCTCCCCCAGACACTGGTCCCCCCCAGATGTTGGGGACATCCCTTTCTCCCCCAGATGTTGATCCCCCCCAGATGTTGGGGACATCGCCTTCTCCCATTCCTAATGGGAAGGGACACGCACAGTGTCCGGTACAGGCTTCACCCCTCCCCACAGGCCCTTCAGAGGGCCCTGCAGCAAAACCCCGCGCGTGGGCAAGTCACCGGAGCAGCATCCCCGCACGCCAGGCCGCCGGGCCCTGGGAAGCCGCGGGCTGACTTTGTGAGCACGTCCCTGTGACGCCGCTTGGGCATCGCCAGGGGCAGGGGCAGGGGCTGGGCACGGCTGTCACTTCAGCGGGACTACAGGTCCCAGGAGGCTTTGCGGGACGCTCTCCACGCGGAGCCAATCAGGACGCTCGCTGCTGGCCCGGCCCGACTATAAAAGCCGAGGCTCCCAGCAGTCTGCCCTTTCCACGCGCCGGGCAGAGGCGGGATGAAAGTGGTGAGGCGCGGCCTAGTTCATCATCTGTCGCCATCTTCCCCTGTAGGCGCGGGTTCGGGCCTTTGGACCCCGCAGGCCGGACCCCGAGCGCCAGGCTCAGGGGGTCGGCGCGGATGGACCCGTCCCTCGCGGGCGAGGGTGCTGCAGGCGGGGCCGGGCTCTCGGGGCTGGGAAGCGGTCGGAGGCGGCTCGTGGCTGCAAAGAGGCTTGGGCCTGGGGTGGGGAAGGGGCGTGTGGGGGTGCCCCCCTCGCTTCTGACCTGAAGGGTGACCTGTCCTGCGGGCTGTGCAGTGGGACCGGCTTGGTGCCCCACTGATCCAGACTTACCCACCTCGCGTGGGGTTGTGTTTAAGCGGGGGGAGACCTCCAGCTCTTCCAGCATCTTTCTCCTGGCGTGTAACAAAAGTGTGAGCTTGGGGGCATGCCCCACCAGGCCTCTGGGTCCAGTGTGCACTTGTGTGTTGCAGCCAGGGGAATTGCTCTGGTGCGCATGTGGAGAGCAGACTTGAGCTTGCTGCCTTTGTGTGACGGTGGCTGTTACCTAGCAGAGTGGCTGCCTGCTCAAATGGCGGCTGAGAACTGCAGGAGTTGCGTGCTGTGCTGCTGGCATGGAGGCTACCGGGCATTGAGCAGGATAAATAAACAGGAGGATTGGTGGCTTGGAGGATAAGGGAGTGGGTTCAATTGGCTGTTCAGCGTGGGTGATTTGGGGGTCCTGTGTGGAGACTGGTCTGGTTACTTTGCAGCAAAATTGCTGTAAGGCAGGTGGGCCTGTAAAACGGAAGCATAAATGCTAAAGCAGATAGAGGTAGATGGTGTACACCACCCCAGGTAGAATGGCCTTACCCAGCTCTCCTTACACATGGCAGGATTTTGAAGCACAGCATTTGGGATCATTTCTGGTTTGTGCTGTTCCTCTTCACACTCCTGCACTCTCTTTCCAGGCTTGTGACATGAGACGGCTTTTTCTTTCTTCCAGGTCTGGCAGTGTATCAACTTTCACAAGGCCTGGAGCAGAGTCCAGCAATGCTGGGACCTGCCCAACATGGGATTTGCACTGCTGTCACTTGGTATGTGGCTTTATACCACTTCCTTTGGAGGTTTAGTAAAGATTTGTTATACCCTGACTGCCAATGATGATATTGGTCATCGGAGCAGATGAGCTGTGCCAACAATACCTGGTCATGTTTTGGTACTAATTCCATAGGAAGCACTTGAGACTGTTTCCATGGCCCTATCGAAGCTGCGTCTGTCTTGCTTGTGTAGCTGGCGCGGTCAAAAAGGAGCCAAGAATGATTTTGTTTTCCTTGACGGTCGCTGTCCAGTTTGTTCCTTTTATAACTGTCCAGCAACATTTCAGGAAAGTACATGTATAGCCAGGGTTGTAAACCAGGAATGTCAGGTTGGAAGGAACATGGTGACATCTGTGCAATGAGATGGGAGCACCTGGAGCCGGATCATACCTGGCAGGTGTTCTGTAGGCCTAACCCACTCCTCTGTGATGGCAGAGGGGCAGCCAGCTTTCTGGCAGGCCTGGTTCCTCAATTACTAGCCCATATCTAGAATAAGAAATGAAGACTGCTGTGGGCTAACAAACTGTTGCACTTTCCCTTTATTCTAGGGAGGTGTGGGTGATCCTCTGCCCATGGATCATGGAGGGGGCCTACCTTCACTCAGTACAATGAGTCAGACAGGTAAGCTGTGAGATTGTCGGACTTATGGATGATGGTAGCTGCTGAGAAGCCTGACATGGGGCCATCCTCTTGCAGTGCATCCAGGCCTTGGGGAGGAGGGCGTAAAAAGCAAAATACTGTTGCAGTAGGTCGACATGGCAGGGGGTCGGACTCGATGATCTGTCTAGGTCCCTTCTGACTCATTGATTCTATGATTCTAGTAAGTAGATGTTCTGGTGGCCTGTTGTATCGAGTACCTTTTGTAACTTTGTGTAACACGGTATACAAGTAATTTTGTACTGTAAAGTGTGTTCTGGTTTCATATCTGCTGTGTGTTGTTCTGTACTGCAGAATGTGCTTTAGTTTGACCATGATCATGTTTGCCACCAGTATCTATTTTGCTGTAAAATTGCATCTTTCTTTCTCTCCTGCTTCCCCCCCCACCCCCTTTCAATTTGTTGATCTGGAGGAATGCATGCTGTCTGAACAGTTGAGTGCCATAGAAGCATGGCAAACCCTGATTGGGAAAGCTAGGGTGATGTCATGCCAGGTGCAAGGGAAGGAGCAGCTAGCTAAAAGATCTGGGGCAAAGGAGCCAATATGGAAGGGGAAACTCAGCCAGGCATTGTCATGGGTAGGCTTGGCTCCCGAATTTTTGCAGAGCTTATCTGCCCCAGCAGGAGCTGTGTAACCAGGACTAGGAATTTTGGGGGTGTGGTGCATGGATTTGAGCTGCAGTCACCCCCTCACAGCCACCACGTGGAAGTGGAGATTGGCACTCTGCAGCTTCCCAGGGAGGAACAAAAGGTCCCTTGCATTGCAGATGGACCAGTGCTCGCTAGCAGCTCCCTGAGGTGCAGCAAACCCCAAGAAGCAGCTCATAAGAACTGCCCCCCACCCCCATCCAGCCTGTTGCCAAGTGGCAGGTATAGTGGTGAAGGCCCCCAGAGCTAAACCTTTGGGTAAGCCCCAAAGTTGCAAACAGTGTGGGCATGGGTGGAATTTCCCTGAAGAGGTAAATGACAGGCTATACCTTGTAGCTCAGCATTTCAAATTGCATTTGGTGTTTTCTTTGTCTCTATCTGCTGTAATAAATCTGACCTTTTTGTGTTTACACTGCTTGCAAGGAGGGGGGTTATTGCAGGGCCACTCCCATTCACTTCAGTGATCCCAGACTCCTGGGTGGGTGGGCTTGAGCCACAGTGAAAACTTACTCGGTGCCCTGGAACTCAAACCTAGCCTTTATTGTTGCTGACCAGTGTCCAGCAGAAGGGTTACATTAGGATTCCTTGGTGTGGCCCCTGTTGTGAAGCAGAGCTCTCCTGGAATGGACCTTGCAAATGAGATGTGCTGTGGTGGTAGCTGCTCTTGCAAATATTCTCCTTGCTATCAGAAATAGATAAGTGTCTACCTCTTGTTGCTTTTCGCTGCTAGGTCTTGGTGCTTCCCAGAGAGGCCATTATTGTCCCCATTCTGCAGAAGGGAAACAGGCATGGCAAGGTGAAATAACTTGCTGAAGGTCCATGGCAGGTCAGTAGTGCAGTTCATGCACTATCTTCTGCTGAGTGACCTCCTAACAGGTGTTCTGAGGCCTGTTGGGATTGCCAGATGCTTAGGCTGCATGTAAATCCAAGAGCTGTGGCTCAACAAAAATAGCCACAGGGTCTCCAATTACATGCAATAGCAAGGAGGAGGGACTTTGATGGCGAGGCCCCTAATGCCTGTAGCTGTCACTCACCTCTCCTACAATGGGCCCACTGTCATGCTCTCCAGGGTCTGAGTCCTGAGCAGTGCAAGTCTGTAGAACGCTGTACGGTGGGACTCCACTGACTGTAAGGATGTTACAATCTGTGTTCTAGGGCCTGTTGGCATCATTCAGACCCCCAAGCAATTGCCTGGATAGCTCACCTGCTAGATGAATGGAACGTGAGTCGGAGCAGCCACTGCACGAGGTGAGAGAAACTCCATTGAGCAGAAATCTAGCTGCTTCCCCTCCAGAACCCTTTCCCATCAGATCTGAACACCGGTCTCATGGTCAAAAAAGGAGGGAGAATAAATTACAAACTGGTGTCACCCTCTTTGCTGGAACAGTCCTGCACTGAGAGAGACTAGTTTGAAAACATTCACTTGCTGGCAAAGCCCTGAAGAATGTAAATCTCTCTGGCCCAGGGAGTGTGGATAAACACTCTTTTAGTGCAGCTCTTATTTGGAATGTGCCAGCTAATTTTAAGGCCAGAATGGGCTTTCCCAGCTGACCACCTAAATAAGCAAAACTTTCCCCTTGTTGAATTTGAGCTGATGTTTTAGGTGTACCCTGCTTGTATCTGTATTACTGATCTGTGCAAAAAACCTGTCCCTGTTTCTAATTCCAGTTCCATGCTTGCTTTTCTCAGGAATCTCACAGCAAATGGAAGTAGCTGAGAACTGTCTATCGGGAGCCAGCACAGTAATCCTGATGCCCAGATGAACATGATGGGCACTTTGCAAGGGGCTGAAATTCTGGAAGGGTGTATGATAGCAAAGTAAGTTTCATCAGTATCTGCTTTGAAAGGGTTTATCATGTAGCTTTTCACATGTGGCCTCCCCAACAGGTCCTTTAGAAGCACAGCAGCATCATTTTGGTGCACTCTTGCTTTAACTACATTGTCTGTCTAGCCATAAAAATGGTTTTGTGTGAGTGGTGTAGCCAAAGAGTACTAGTTGACAGGAGCAAACCAAAGTGGTGCAGGGTGACCAGTGGAGTCCCTCAGGGCTCAGTACTTGGGCTGGTACTCTTTAACATCTTCATTAACAATCTGGATTCAGGAGTCAAATGCAAACTGGCCAAGTTCATGGATGATACCAGATTAGGGGGGAGGACAGCTGCACCAGAAGACAGGTTAGGGGGATATAGGCCAACATGGACATGCTGTCAAGGTGGGCTAACCAAAACCCAATGGCCTTCAGTGGAGAGAAGTGTAAGGTGCTGCACCTTGGTGGGAAGGAACCTTCAACATGCTCGCAGGCTTGGCAGTGCTGCACTCACTAGCACCATGACTGAAAGGGACTTGGAGATCTTGATTGACCACAAGATTAATATGAGCCATCAATGTGATGCTGTGGCTGACAAAGCAAGCCAAACTCTGGCGTGCATCGACTGATGCAGCTCAAGCAAAACCAGGGAAGTCATCCTCCCACTTGACATAGCCCTGGTGAGACTGCAGCTGGAGTACTGTGTCCAGTACTGGGCCCCCCACTTCAGGAGGGGTGTGGAGAAGCTTGAGAGGGTCCAGAGGAGAGCCACTCATGATCCAAGGCCTGGGGGGCAGGCTGTATAAGGAGAGACTGGGGGACTTGGGACTGTTCAGTCTGGAAAAGAGAAGGCTTAGGGGGGACTTGGCGGCAGCCTACAATTACATAAGAGGGGTGCATCAGGACCTGGGAGAACAGCTGTTCACCAGAGCTCCCCAAGGGATAACAAGGTGTAATGGACATAAATTCCAGGAAGCTCAATTTTAGACTACACATAAGAAAAAAGTTCTTTATGGTGTGAGTGTCCAGAGTTTGGAACAAACTCCCCCCAGAGATGGTGCAAGCATCTACTCTGGACTCTTTCAAAAAAAACTTGATCCCAGCTGACTACCTGCCTATGATTGTGGGGGGCTGGACTCAGTGATCTCACAAGGTCCCTTCCAGCCCCTAATGCCTATAAAATCTATTATAGGCCAGAAATCAGGCAAGGATTTTTTTTAAGGGAGACATGGTGGAAAATGCCTTGCTCTCAAAAGTTTGTCTGACTTCATTGGACCAAGTACATATCACCATCCTAGGAAATTCTTGCCCATCTAAAATGGCAAAACCCTAGCTAACCCCTGCCCTCCTGGAGCTCTGTGGTATTCCAAGGAGGCTGGCCACTTACAGTAACTTATCAGTTAACTTCACTGGTAGGCTGCTGATTGGAAGGAATTTTCTGACACTGGTCCAAATCCTCATGGTGAAAGTCAGTTTAGCACCACTGAATTTATGGAACCATGCAAGTTTTGTAGCTGCTGAGTATCTGGTCCCACACCTTTTTTTTGAAAAGCGGTGGGGGGGCGAGTTTTTTTTTCTGTAGCTGGAAGAGCCGGGAACATTTCCCTATAATGAGCATAGTTTCTACAATTTGTGCTTTTCAAGGGCTACTTACATACCTGCTTACCCTGCCTTGTCAGTGATGACTCCTGTTACATGGTGACTGCTGGATGAATCCTGCGGATATGGGACTGAGACCAGGCAGTCTTCTGGAAGGCAGGATGTAGCACTTGAGAATGCCACTGATCTTGGCCAGCAGGTCATGTGCAGGAAAGGCTCCCAGTGCTGCTAAGTGAATTGCCCTGGTGCAGACAGGATTGGGGAGGGGACCTGAATGTGGCAGTGAGGCAAGCTGTTCACTCTTCCCATCCAGATCTAACTTGTCATCTTGTGTGTTTGCAGGTCAAAGTGGAACAAGAAGCTGAAAAGCAGGCCAAGACTGGGCTATAATTGCTATACCTTCCTCCATTGGAACTTTCTGAATTTACATTTCTCTTGAAAACCCATTTCTGGGCTTCCTGCATTGTCATGCTGTGGCAGAGCACCTCTGCTGCCTGCCACTTTAAGGGCTAGAACAAGCAGCAGAGCAGCCTGCAGATGCCTGCTTTTCCAATCAGGAGTCAAATGACCAGCAGGAGGCTGCCTGATTGGGAGTAGGGCACAGCTGCTAGGGATAAAAGCAGGGCCAGCAGTTGCTGGAAGCAGCCACGGAGGGAG